GAGCAGGGAGCCCGATGCGGGACTCGATCCAGAGACTCCAGGATCATGACCTGAGCCAAAGGCAGTCGCTTAACCAACTGAGCCACCCAGGCGCCCTGTGGGGGCTTTTGTAAGAACACTAACCCCATTCACCGGACCCACGCCCTCACAGCCTAGTTGCCTCCCAAAGGCCCCACGGCCTAACCCCATCACCTCCGGGGGTTACGACATCAACATATGAAATTTGGGGGACACACAAGCTTTCAGACCATAACACATGAAGACTGAAGTTGTGTATCACAGTGTCTTTCTTCAGGCTTCCGTCCAAACTTGCAGTCTTTTGCTCTTACGCTTAGTTACGGGTGTGTGCGCTGAGGTGTTCTGGATGCCTAGTGGGAGGAAGGCCTGAGTAGGGGACGTTTGGCGTTTCCTACTTTTCTGAACAGTACAGAGCGAGCTCCCCAGCAGGTGCCACAAAGTGTTTACCGATCTGGCAGATGGAAACCAGTGACCCATGCGGCATGTTCTTGAGCGAGGCTGAAGGTATTCTCCGAAGCTCATCAGTTCCACGTGTCTCCTCTTCACTGGTCGCTGTTCTAGGAGGGTGCCTACTTTCACACTAGGTGGCTGCTTCTTGCTCACTGGTTGTTGGAGTTCGTTGTAAGGAATCCTTTCTTTGCTATATGGGCTGTAAAGTGTTCTCATTAGTGGCTTACTTTTTTTTTTCTGATTAGGTTTTTTTTTTTTTTTTAAAGATTTTATTTATTTAAAGACAGAGTGCGAGTTGGGGGAGGAACAGAGGGAGAGGGAGAAGCAGACTCCGTGCTAAGCGCAGAACCTGACGCGGGGCTTGATCCCAGGACCCTGAGATCATGACCTGAGCCAAAATCAAGAGTCGGACGCTCAACTGACTGAGCCACCCAGGTGCTCCTCTGATTAGGTTCTGAATCGTAAGATCAATCTTTTTCTTCATGGTTTCTAATTTTGTCTTACGAAGTCCGTCCCACAAATGTCACAGATGATGTGCGTTGTAAAGGGTTAATCTACGTGGAATGGAGGCTTGTGTGGTGTGGGGCAGGGATCCCACTCCCTTGCTTCCCCCCCGGGTATTGGATGCCCCGGCAGAAGCGCATCCTTTCTGGCGTGTCACGGGCTTCTGTGCAGTGCAGTTGTGTCTGGGCCCGGGGCTGCACGGGAGGCTCGCTGCACGGCTCCCTGCCCCGTTCCCGTGAGCGCTGCCCCTGGGCAGGCGAGGCCCTTCCGGATCTTCTATAAGACGCTCAGTCTGCCCGAGAGACAAGCCCGCTCTCCCGCAGCGCCGCGGCCTCACACCTAGGACCCGAGCAGCTGCCTGCTCCGTTCCGTCCCTGTGACCGCGGGTCGCAGGTCTGTGCTGCCTGCCATTTCACACACGTTCTGGGGCTGATCTCACCCTGGCCCCGACTCCCTGGTCAGGCTCCTCTCTTGTCCTTCCGAGGCTATTCCGAACCTCATCCCCCTCTCCAAGTCCCAACCCCACTTTGAGCATTTTCTTGGCTGGTGACATACCCAGGCCGGGGATGCCTCCAAACTCGTCACACGCACAGACCCCTGCCTCCCTCCAGTTTGCTGAATGCAGTCCCCTGGGACATTGCTCTCGTGTCCCCTTTCTTCCCTGCATTTCAGTGTCTCCTTCTTTGCCTTCTTTTCTTTTGCATGCCCCCAAATTTCTTTCACCTTTAACAACCCCAAAAAAATAAAAGACAAAACAAGTTCAAAGTTCAAAGTGGAGACACATGAATCCTTAGCGTCTGTTAACCATGATAGGGGATGGGGGGATTGCGAGGTGGTGTGCCCTCCCCACTCGGCCCCTGCGTGCTGCACCCGACAACTCGCCCCGTCAGCTTCGGCTGCTTCCTCCCTGCAGGGCTCTCCGACCTCCTTCTCTAGGCCAGAGAGCGTTCAGAGCTCCAGATTCGACTGTCCTGTTGCTTCTAGACCAGCCACCTGGCTGACTCAGGTGCTCGTTAAGCTAGATGCACAACTTACTACCTCTGCTCCCTTCCTGAACTTACTATGATCACTCCAGGGGGACCTGAGAGCTATTCTGGGCCACTCCCTCTACACCCACTTGGCTGCAGAGTCCTGTTCTCCTACCCCCTAAACATGTCTCCATGGTAGCACCTTCTTCAGCTTCACTGTGTCGTCTGAACTGTCCGTTACTCACACTGGCCTCTTCCCCGGCTCTCATTCTTCACACAGCCACCAGTTCCCTTTCTAAACTAGAGACACGGTTGCTTCCACTCCTGCTCGTTTCTGATGTTCTCCATTGCTACTGGAGAAAAGTCTTAACGCTGTTGTCACATGATGTACCAGGCCCTCCGCACCCCCGTGCCCCACAGATAAGGGCATTTCTAGACCTCTCCCAGTGCACGGGCACTTCACAGTCACGACTACACTCTTGTGAGGGTCACTTTTCTCTAGAACGCCCGTCAATGCTTGACGTAAAACAGAGTTGTCATCTCCCAGAGTCATTCTAACATACTGGCACCACGCTCACTGGTCTCCATGCTCCTCTGGCAGTTGGGAGGTGTGCCCCTTCTAAAGGGCGTGGGGACACTCCATGATGCCGTCTGTGGTCGGATGCTTGCACCTGTCCTCTCGTTGTCGTACTAACCAGCCAGGACGGCGAGGTCTGATGCGCACCTGAGGGCCCAGTCCCCCCGACCAGCGGGTGTGGGCTTCTCCCACTGCACAGTGCCCACTCACCGAGGACGAAGTACGAGATACACTACATTACTACAGCCTTTCCACAGGCATCGTGGAGTATGTTTATCATGTGCACTTGTCATCTGAACTTCCTACAGTCCTCAAACGTTCTCACGTGTTCAAGTCGGATTCCGATGTCTATGGAAACAAGCGGCTTCTGACATCTTTTTGTTAGTTTTGACTTTATTTCACAGATTTTATACAGTTATACAACATAAAAGCATAAAATAGTCAACTCTTTTCTCTTATTTACATGGTGTAAAATTTTTAATTAAGATTTCTTATCATGAAAGAGGATATTAACTAGAGCAGAAATACCGTCCATGATCGATTCAGAGATAGCATAAACTATGTTCTACTTCATGATTTTGCCCTCTACAAGAGAACCTCCAGTTCACCGTGTTTAAATGCAATGACTACCCACTTGCATTCACTTTTCTGCGCTACACACTCTGTCCTATCTCATTCTACAGACTCGGGAGGAGCAGGGAAGAGCAGGGAAGAGCAGGGCTGGGGGTCCACACCACGCCACATCTGCCCGGAAGCCGTGCTTGCCAGGGTTCCGCAATCACCTCAGGATCGATTATCTTCAATGACAATAGTTCTTCTAGGGTAGGGCTCAAGTTCAACAAATATATATCGAAATTCATACTCGCCACTTTCTGGGTTCTGGAAAACAAACATATTTCCAGGTGTAACTTTTGTCCCCAGGGCTTACGTCCCGCTGCCCCAGAGCCCTCGGTCCCCACCCAGTCCCCACCCAGTCCCCACACCTCCTTCACTTCAAGATGCACTGTTCCTTGCTTCCCAGGCTCAGAGCCCTGGATGTAGAACTTCACGCGCATGTGTTTCAGCCCATCCTTTACATATTCAATAAAACTGTCAAGAAAACGAAAGAGCACAGCCTCAATTCCTGTCATTTAAAAATGACCCCGAGCTTTTGGAGCGCACGCGAAGCGCGGTACCTGACATGCTGCCTCCGCCCGCGGCGTGTCGCCTCCCCGTAGCCCTTCACGGGCTCGCCGAACACACTGATGACCTGTGGGACAGATGCAGCGCGGGACTCGGTAAGGCCTCCACCTTTCACGCTTCCCAGAGAAATATTTTCTGACAAATCAAGGGATTTTTTTAAGAAAACAAATCATTAAGCCTGGGACCCTTTCAAAATGACAACTCCCAACGATGAAAAACCTGCTTCCACAAGTACGTCTTTTGTGCACACTTTAGTCCGTGACTCCGTGGTGTGAACCATGGCTTCACGACAGGTGTTCCTACTTCCCACAAAAACCAGGCACAACAAAGTGGGCAAACGTTTAAACACGCATTTGAATATTTTTAGTGAAATGTATCTCATGGGGTCTAATACTCAAAGGTACAAGAATGACACAATTTTTTGAGTCTCTAAAGACAGTGAAAGATAACGAGTACAGGTTTCTCCAGCTATCCAAAAGTTCGCTTCACGACGTCACTCTAAAGATCCTACATTAGTACCTGTTTGCTAACTGAACAAAATCCAAAGGCCTTTTGCTTTCAGGAAATGGTGGCTGTGCCCTTGCTTCACGCCCTTGACTTAAACGAGAGCTTTCACACGAGTGTGCCACTTTCACATACCGGGGGAAGCCCGCAATAATCACCTCAGATCGAGAGGTATGAAACCATGATTCCTAACAGGAAAACTGACAATGACATGGAAATGTAGTTCCTCTTGATTTAAAATGCAAGTACTTTGGAGCCTTTCCAAAAAAAAGAACTGTAACTGGAACCTTCCTTATGCCCTGCTCATTTCCCACATACTCAGAGATGTGTCTCCCTGCCTCCTCCTTCATGGTTCTCACCGACGGCCCAGAGTCCAATGGTAAGAAATCAGCAGATGTAAAGAGCAAGATGCCTGAGGTCTCCTCCCTGACAGGACTGGAGAAACAGGTGGAGCAAGCGGAGGTGAGGCCCCAGGGAAACCAGTCAGGGCACCTGCTCTGAGGGCACCTGCAGCTTCGTACCTCACCCGTCACGGGTATGTGTGAGAAGCTGCCCTGATAATTTTTGGTGCTATCTGCTGTTTTCCTTCGAGGTACAAAGATTACGATTTCAGTGGGTAATATTTTTCCACGCTGAAGCCTTCCACCCAGGGAGTAGGAACTCTTGGTGCTACAATGGCTGCGCTGTTTGTGACCGGAAGGCATTGCGGAAAGCCTTCCTTCTGGCAGGACCCCTAACAGAACGTGGGCAACTTTTCCATACGTCAGCCTCCTTGCGGGGGATGCTGTGCTCAACACATAAGCTTTGGAGTCACACAAACTTGGGCTCAGGTCCTGGCTGTCCCGCTTACCGCTCAGCAATCTCAGCAATGCCTAATCTCTGAGGTGTCGGCCTCCCCTTCTGCAAACGGGACAGTCGCAGTATTTAACACAAACGGCTTCTGTGAGCGCCAAGAAGGACGAGGCACTGAGTGTAGTGCTTGGTGCATAATGTGCCTTCAGCGAGTGTCAATAATTACTATTATGATCACGAGCTCACGGATCAGGTTTTACAGGGCTAGAAACTTACCACAAGAGTTTAATACTCTGGCAAGGTCTAAGCATTTAGTATCTACGAAAACAAGTGACTCTCTTGTATAATTAGGATGAAAACACCGCTACACAGACCTTTGGGGGGGTCCTAAAGCATTTCAAGTACAGAAGAGAGAGCTAATAACATAATCACAATCCAGCCATATGACTTTATCATCATATAAACATCACTACTCTCAGAACCAACATGTGTGTTCTGGCTCCGCCTCCCCTCCCCTCCCCCGGCATTTTTTCCCCATCTTCAGAGTGTGTGTGATTCCATCTGGAAGACTAACCTCAGGGTGTGATCTGCATTTTTCTAAGGCTTTCCCATAGATCTTATTAGGGCTTGATGAAGAAAAAAGTTCTTTGAAAATTGTGTAAAACAAGCCACCTGCAAATTATAGAAAAAGAAGATCAAGCAAAGCAAGAGCAAGACAAATGTTAAAAGATTTTAGGAGTAGGTATTGTACTTGCTGTGATCAACCTGTGATGCTGATTCCAAAAAGCACCACTATCAAATAGGTAAAATCTCTTCCAGCTTCTTTCACTGTAGAGAGAAAGCATGGCTCAGTTAGATGTGTGCCTGACAGGCGGGAGCGCTCGCGGCTTCAGCACTTCTAGTGGGGGACATGTGGACTCGGGACCCCATGTGGGTGGGGGTCTGCGTGTGCTCTGGGGCGGCTGCTCCCAAGCCTCCCTGTGAATCAGAACCACCTGAAGAAAGTTTTCAAAAGAACCTCAGTAGAGTTCTGGGCCAGGGAATCCATACTTTATTTAGAATTACAATTTTAATACCTCTTTACTTTCTAAGACGAAGAAACACTTGAACAAGTGATCCAGGCCCCCGGCGTGAAAACACGATACAGACTGGGCAGCGCCGGGCACATTCTGCTGCTCACAGACCAAGTGTTTGCTTTGTCAACTGCGGTCCAAGGGATCGAAACAGGCCTCAACTCTGACAGTCACTTCCCACCCTGCCACCCCCACCCCCCACTGGCTGCGCACACAGTACAACCAGAATGGAATTTAGAACAGAAATTCGCTTGGCCAGACAGTTTTGTGAAGCGAATAAACTTAGAAAATGAAGAACCTGCCCAGATCCGGCATCTCTACTGAGAAGGAGCAGCAGGGTTTGTAGGAACATGACACAGACAACAGCGCACGTGTACGGCCTTGCTTAGGATCTGTTAGGTCTCCCACTTGTTATTACCTCGTTTTAAGGGACCTGGACCTTCTGGATTTTGGCTGCCCTGTACAGTAACCACACACCACACATGGCTATTTGAGTTTAATTTTACCATTAAGTTAACTTAAAATTAAATAAACACTCAGTTCCTCAATCACACTAGCAACACTTCAAGTGCCGGAGGCCACGTGTGCCTAGTGGCTCCCATACAGAGACCGCATACAGATAGAACATTTCCATCACTGCGTCGTTTTATTTGGACAACACTGTTGTGGACATTCTGCAAAACATCCCATTTGTCCATTCTATTTATGCCATCGTATTAGAGCCCAAAGTAACAAGGGGCATGTGTGTCGGGAAGCTTGGTAAACACATGTACTCCAAGTGTGGGGGGGATGAGCCCAGAAAGCAGATCCAGGGTTCACCGGCCACATATGCAAAACTCTTAGGGGTACACTGCATGGGGCATGGTAAGACACCCCATCCCAAACCAAAGAAACTAGGGCATCCCGTACCACGATGTGATAGGCCCCTCTGTACTCTGCGGGCAGCATATCCCACATTTGGGAATACTGCTCCCACTCATCACTGAGTCACCAGGAAGGCTGTCGCCTCTGAACGGGGTCCGGGTGAGGACAGGACTCTGCAGTAGGACCCTTCTGCAGTGTAAGCAGCGCCGCTGCTGGAGCTGGACGACCTCACAGACGCTTTGACATCTGAGCCTTTGCCCTCTGCACGCAGGCTGTTCATTCGTGCTGGACTTTCAGTCATCCCTCACAACCCTGTCCAGGCTATTACGAATGAATGATATGTGTTTTACATATTCAGCAGATTACACAACAATTGATAGCATACCGTTTTTTTTTTTGGTTGTTAATGTTGTTAAAAACTCTACGTATTGAAATGACAGAGCAAAATATTAACAATAGTCACCTTTGCATGGTATAATCATGAATGTCTCAACCGTCTGCTTCCTTTTTACTTATTTTTTCTACAGATTACTTGTGAAATGAAATAAACAACTGACTTTTCCTGGCAGAGCTACATTTTTGCCTTTCCCATTATCTGTGTTCCTTCTATTACTGCCCGTGTCACCTGGAGATAAATGCTGTTTTGAACACCTTTAATTTTGTAGCACGAAGAGTCTACCTCAACGTTTGGGCACAGCAGTCATTCAAGAGCAGTGCTGAGTTGACCTACCTGAGCCAGCCCATACGGGTTATGCCTCAATAATACCCATTTACTCCACCCAATTACTCTGTACCTATCTTACGCTCTCCGGTACTCTCTCTGTAGCACAATTACTGTGTTTTCCCTGTTTCACACTCCGTATCTACTTTCTTCATTAAGTGCTCATCCATTTGTGCACAGGAATTCCCTGGCACACCCATTAACATCTGTTCAAGGGTCAAGCACAGAGGAAGTGGAAGCTCAAGAAATACTCGTGAATGGTTGTTCTAAAGAGCCCTGACGTGGCTATTAGGAAATTAAGATAAGGAAAATGTGGTTTTAATTTTCAGTTGTGTGAAATTGGGGAAGTGTGCCTCATACATAGAGTTTTAATGTCTGAGGGAGGGAACAGGAAACTCAACGGAGATAAAATGACATCTGTGAAATCTACTTATTATAAACTTTCAAACAATGGTTAAGTTTTATACAGCTCCACACTAAAACTGATAAAGTTGAGAAAAATTTTCTAGACATAACAAAGTTATGTAAAAATCAACTCTGAAATCTGAGTTCAAGTCTGTGAAGAAGACTGTAGTCTATATTCTCAAACTCTGACCTGTCTTGAGCTGTTTTCCTATCTTTAGCACTGAACCCGTGGGAAAGGACCCGGGCAGCTCTCGTCACGTTTGCGGAAAGACTGATCACGCCCGTTACCTTTCTGTGACGTCGAGACGCCGGTTTCCCGTCCCTGACCGTGCACAGACACTTGTTTGCTGCTGTCGTCCCCTCCCCTCTGGGCGCTCTGCCCCTGCGTCCAGATGGTTTTCCGGGTGACTCCAAGGATACACTTGGGTTGCACCGTTTTCTTTCGCTCTTGCACACCCCAGCTCAAGCTGGGCGCAGTCTTCAGGCGAGCTTTGTTAAGCACCAAGTGTGGCGGGAACAACCGCTTCCCCGACGACCTGCGCAGCTTCTCCGCACACTGTGCGGCTCGTAAGAAAGTACAAATCATGATCACAGAAAACTGCTCCGCTTTGGAAAGGTGCCAACTACGAAGAGCAAAGCTTCACTGCCCAATACACACCAGCCAGAGTGTACTCAGGGCTACACATTCACACGGGTGATTCTGCACGGCGTGTTCGGCGAAAACGTTAGCTCACGAAAGAAGCTGCGTCCGCTTCCTCTTCCCTTCCATGCTCTTTTTACTCGAATTAAAGTGCTTTAATTACCTTCCGTACCTACGTTCACTCACTACCCGCCATACCTCTGCAAAGTAACCTGGGAAACCTCGAGGAGTCCTGGGAATAGTAGTTCGAGGCCCTCACTCTTCACAGAGCTACCGCAGCAGGAAAGGCACCAGGACTACATTTCCCACAGTGCAGGGCGGCCAGCGAGCGTGTCCCTTCCGCTACCTTCGAGAGTTCCCCGCGCCTGCGCTGCACGTATTTGGCGCCGCAGGGGTGGGCGGGGTGATCCCGCAACTGACAAAAATCCAATTAGGAATTATAAGATGGGTGTTCTTGTGGACTATCAGAGAGGACTGTAAACTGGGAATTCTCGGTCTAGTTGTGGCTTTGCCCTTCCTCATGGGCAAATGCTGTAGCCTTTGCGTTTCAGTTTCTCCCCAAGGAAACCAGACAGGAAGCAGCACAAACTTCCCCAGAGCCAGCAGGGGGTAGGGACGAGGCCGCCGCAGTGCCCAACGCCAGTGGCCGAAACTCAGCGGCCCGCTTGCCACGCAGCGTTCTCAGCTTCAGGCCGTGCGGCGTGGGAAGAAGCAGGGCCCCAGAAGTTTCTAGAACAGCTCCTGGGGCCGGCGGAAAGGCGGTGTCGCCCTTCGCCCCGCCCCTACGCACAGGCGCCGGCGAGGGCGTCGGCGTCGAGTGGGCGTGGCGGGGGCGGTGCGCTCCTCCCTCGGGCCACCGCTCCGCCTCCGGCGCTCCCGCCGGGTCTCCATGGCGACGGGACGCGGCCGGCTCCTGCAGCAGCTTTGGCGCGGCCTCCAGGCGCTGCGTTTGCCGCCCGGCGGCGCCGGCGCGGCCCCGGGGACTGACGGGGAGGCCGCTGGGTTCAGGTGACTGGGGGCCGCGGGTCGGGTCAGTACCCCGCCACCTTCCCCCTCTATTTTCATTCGTCGGTCCGGCGCGGTGTGTTGCTCGCGGCTCTTAGTGCAGGAGAGGTCTGAAGAATGGCGGGAGGAAATTTCCTCAACTTGGAAACGCGCAGTTACCCCCAGTCCTGATACAAGTATCCTAGCTTCCCCGGGGAACAGTCTTCCTCCTTCCCTTCATTCAGTTCTAGGCACTGTGGGGAACTGGGAACCCTGGGGCAGCGCGTCGCTGCGCTCCGCCGCGCGGATGAGCTCCACCTGTGAGGGCAGGTACTTATCACAGGTCTGCACCTGCAGCCTTGGAGAGGGCGCTCGTTCAGAACGTGTCCCCCAAGCTCCTTGTTTTCTTCTGGGGCTGGAAATCACCTTTCGTCCTCTCTATGAGTTTGTAAGTTAGGAAAGTAGAATCTACTTTTGATAAGGTTACCAATTTTCTTTTCCCGCCCATGGTTGGTGAATGCAAGACACAACCCCTAAGCAGATAATTCTGGTGGGTGGGTTGGTCTGGGAGCGTGTTTTCTCAGGGCAGAGTTCCTGCACTTCCAACTTCGAGGCCTCCTCTGCATTTTCTTTTCTTTTCTTTTGGAGAGAGAGAGAGAGAGAGGGACGTGGGGAAGGCAGAAGGAGAGGGAGAGAGAGAATCTTAAGCAGGCTCGTCGCCCAGGGCAGAGTCCCACCCTGGAACTCAAGCTCGCAACCCTGAGATCATGGCTCAGGCTGAAACCAAGAGTTGGCTGCTTAGCAACTGAGCCACCCAGGCGGCAGGTTTCTAAGCAAACTCTGAAGGGATGCCTATTGATAGCCACCCGTTCGTGTTCATCCCTAATCCCCTTCTGCCTGCCTTCCTGACGAAGTGCTGGGCTTGTGTTCTTTTCTTGGTGTCTAGAGACCCATCTCCTACATTTCTCTTGGGCACCCTGGTTCTGAAGGGTGGTCCTCTTCTACAGTGAGAGAAGGCAACTTTGAGGAGATGGGGAAGGGGCAGGGAGCAGGAGGCTGCAGGTACATTCCAAAAGGATCTTTAGCTTAACTCCAAGGGTAATGGTTCAGGTTCATTTCATAGTGAATGATCCAGTCTGTTAGAGGTATCAATGTGCTATCATGGTACCTTATTAGATTCTTCTCGTTTATGGTGAGTGGTTCCTAGCTTTATACGCATCATCCCAATTGGTTCGCCAAGTGGAGGGACAATACAAAGAACAATTTGCATTCTTGCGGAGTCTTTTTGCTTGCAAGTCCTCGTGATTTGTAAGATAGGAAAACTCATTCGTATTATGCCTTCTAACAAACCAAATGTCTGTTTATTTATAAAATATGATTCTGTTATTTAACAGTTCAAGAACTTAAATTACTTTTTGTTTTCCCAAATCTCCAGGATGTTGTCCCATGTTCATCCTAGGGTCCATTACCCACTTACCCTGTTTTCGGAAGGGGTGCTCTGCACCTTAGTATTATGGTAATAGTTGGTTCTTGAGAATAGCGGCAATGCTAGACATACCACAAGCCTCGTGAGAACTAAAATGGTGACAGTGCCTTCAAAACTTCTGTAGGAGAGAAACAGTGGCATTTAAATTGGAGCCTCGAACTTTAAATCAATTTGCCACGATTCCTAAAATTAGCCTTTATATATAGAGCTCTGTCAGTGGGGAGCAGAATGATTTTTATGTGATGAATCTTCTATTACTTTGTAAGTTGAGCGAACTTCTTGGTGATGACGTAATTAGAGTGCCTGGCATGGGAGCCCACATGTCAGCCTGTGATTTGGTGAGGTCTACATTCCTTATGGGAAAGAAAAATCAGCTGCCAAGAATGATTGCAGATGGTCTAAGTAGGTGGTGATTTTTATTGTCTCACTGCAGAAAAATTAGATTTTAATAAGGAATCAGCTACCTTTTTAATGAAAAAATGTGAACATGTGTAAATGTCACAAACTGTGAGAAAAATAGCAGAAAGGATATCAGGTTGGCTTAATTTCTACTTGATCTAGTTTCTTTGGTTTATCAAATATCAAAAATCAGGGACAGAAGATAATTTTTTTCTTTTTTTTTAAGAAGGTAAATTTTTAAAATATTGAATTTATTCAAAGCTGTCAGGCAAAATCTATTACTTAAAAACAGTTTTAAAACTAAATGTCATCTTACTAATTATGTCAGCTAAGTATGCACTTAATTTTGTAGACATAAATCTACATGAGGACATGCATGGAACTTACTGATTTGTTAATTGTGTGGCCCTTGAAAATGTGCAGTTGGTTTATTTTATGGAGAAATGGAGATGTACTTTCAATAATACCAAAAGCCATACTGATAAGATATAGAATATAGTAATGTAATACAGTCGGAAGAGCTCTGGAAGGACAGTCGGGAGATGAAAGTCTCTGGGGCTCTTGGCCTCTATGTTGGGACCTTAAATGAGTCACTGTAAGTGCCTTGTCAGAACTATAGTCTTCTCTGATTTGTGAAATAGGGATTCATTAGATTTATTTTAATTATGGATAAGTAAAATTAATGCAGTGGCTTTGGGGAAAATGTTAAGTAATTTAACTGGTAAGTAATATAATACCTTTGTACGATAAGACAACCACAGGTAAGTTATCCAGTAGAATGCAACATTTGTATTAATTCTTAAGATCAATTAAGAGACTTCAAAGAACTTTTGAACTCTTGGCTGTGCCCCCAGATTTCAGGGCAGCTGGTCCTCCCAGCTGTGTGGATGCCTTTGGAACCACTGTACCTGCCCTAAAGGATTATGCTATCAAACTGTGAGTCCAAACCTTCTCATGTATGGGATTCTCGTTTTGAAATTAAAACAACAAAAATCCCACAGTTTATTGCATATTCAATATATTAAGTAATACTAGAAAATACATGGAATTCTGGCCCTTCAATTCTTCAGCCCCCATTTAAAAACAACCACCACCCAAAAACCTTGCAATCTTGTAATCCTGTGAATCAGATGTATTACTGGTTAATACTTTGTTGTCTTTCCTTCCAGAACTTTTTCCTTTGTGTGTGTTTACTTTTTCTCTTAAGAGACAAAATCAAAGATAAGATTATGTAGTGTATCCTGAGATAACCTGCTTTTTTCAACTGATATGTTACTAATGTAGCAGGTATTTATTGACTATCTCTGTATGCCAGGATGTTGTGGGTGAAGAATCAGGAATGAACAAAACTTGTGCAAAAGACCTGCGGATGTGGAGCTTACAATTCCAGTGATGTGAACAGAGTAGATAAGTAAGATGTGTAGTGATGGATGGTGATAGGTGCTAAGGAAAAAAAATAAGGAGGGGGCCTATAGTGCGTGCATGTGTGTGTGGTGTGTGTGTGTGTGTGTGTGGAGTATGGGTTGGAGTTTGAGAGAGAGGAGTTGTCAGTGAGATGGTGACATTTGCATGAATACCTGAAGGAGGTGAGGGACCAAGCCATGCAGACATCTGGAAGGCATCATGAGCTCGTTTCTATCTCAGACACTTTCAGCTGTGTTGAAACTGTCCATTTTAATTGGCTGAGCTTTGTTCACTGTATGGAGCCAGGCTGCTTAACCAATCCCTGTACTGTCTCTGGAAGTTCGTCAGTGCAGACAACTCTGAGTGTTCTCGAGTCACATTTTTGGGCTCATTTTCTTGCTTTGGGATATATTTTGTACAAGTGAAATTCCTGGCTTAAAAAAATACAAGTGCCTTTTAAGCTCTTGATAAACACTACCAGATTTGGTTTTCCATACTGTTTATACAAATTTATACTCCCAGCAGTGAATGAGATGTTTTTTATTTGGTCTTTGCCAGTTTCTTAGATTGAAATGGATCGATACAGCATATTAATTTACTTTTCTTTGACTCCCTTGGAAAGGACTTAGGGTGTAATAGACTTTATTTTTTGACACTTTTTGATTGCAGAAATACGTGTGGCAAAAAGCTGTTATCAATTTACTAATGCCTTTTTTTTTTAAAGATTTTTTTAAGATCTAAGAGAGAGAGGGCACAAGCAGGGGGAGGGGCAGGCAGAGGGAGAAGCAGGCTCCCCGCTGAGCAGGGAGCCAGATGCGGGGCTCAGTCCAGGACCCTGAGATCATGACCTGAGCCGAAGGCAGATGCTTAACCAACTGAGCTGCCCAGATATCCCAATTTACTAATGCTTTTAAACAAATGTGTATTTGAGGACCCCAGCAGTATTCATTTAAGTTAAGGAAGCTTTCCTCAGTTTTCACATACAATGTGTATATACAGACCCCCAGACTCCTTGGATGACCATTCATACTGGCAGGGGTCCAAGGGTCACTGGCTGGGAAATCCCGGCAGATAGTATTATTTGATGGAGGAGTAATAGAAATGCCTTTTACTTAAAGCTTATGTGTTAGAAACCACTGTCAACTAAAGATATTTGATCTTTGACTATGTAATACAGATGGGTACAGAATTTACAAGAAGTTAACGACTTAAAATAAGGAGTGCTTTTATCATTTAAAAATGTATATGTTTAAAAATTGTGTATTGTGTTGAATGGTGCTCCCCAAGTTCGCGTTTACCCAGAACCCTAGGATGTGATTTTATTTGGAAATGGGGTCTTTGCAGATGTAATTAGTTAAGATGAGGTCACACTGGGTTAGGATGGATCCTAAACCAAATGTGACTGGCGTCCCTATAAGAAGAGATAGAGACACACACAGGGAAGATGGCTGGGTAAGATGGAGCAGAGGTTAGAGT